TCGGCTGGCATCTGCCGCGCTGGCTGAGGACCCACCTGCCTGTGTGCTCAGCGAGACCCACTCCTCAGCCCCCTCTGCCTGGGTCCCCGCGTGCAGACCTGCCTCCTGACAGCCCAGCCAGAGCCAGGACCCGCTTGACCCCAGGCAGGGTCATGTCCCTTTTGAACTTCAGAGAACTCGGTCCCCTTCCTCTGCCTGCCCCTCCTATGACCCCAGGCAAGGACTGAAGTTGTGGAGCGTCACACCTGCCCCCTCTGGTGGACCCAGCTCCGCCTTCGTCTAGAACAGCGGTTGCCAACTTTGCGGACCTCACGGACCACCATGGTCCGCGGACCACCGGTTGGCAACCGCTGGTGTAGAAGGCATTGCAGGCTGAAGACGGGCACAGCCGTCCCTTCAATGACCCAGGACTCCCCCAGACCCCAATCTGCGTGGGAGCTGTGGGATCACCCAGCCGCCCCTGCAGCCTGGCCTGTGCTCCAGGCCCCCCAAGAGGGGCATCCTTCTAGGGGTCTTCAGAGGCCCTCTCACAGGTGGGAGCTGGAGACTACCTTCCTGGCCCAACTTGGAGTCCAGGGTAGCCCACAAGGTGCCTGGACACTGAGGCCGAGGCGGCTGGGGTCAGGGTCCTGGGCTCCCTCCTCCCGGCTGCCGCCTCGCTGGTGTTTACATGTTCCCTGCGGCTTGGCCGGGCCGCGAGGCCGTGACGGGAGAAGTGACCACCTGGCTCCAGCCCCTGCTCAAGGCAAACAGGGTCCTGACTGCCCGCCAGGCCCACTGGGAGCACCTGGATGGCCCGGGTGAGGCTTGGAGCCGGGTGGGGCGGCCAGCCATGGCCCAGGAGGTCCTGCCCCAGGGGCCTGGATGCGGTAAGAGGTCCTGCCCTGGCACCCAGTGCCGGGAGGGGGGGCATGCCCAGCCTGAGGGGGAGGCCTGGGTACAAATAGCCTGAGGGAGGGCTGGCCTTCACCTGGAGGCGTCTGCGTGGATCGGGAAGCCTGGCCTGGGGACCCTGGCCAAGTGGGCGCCCAGCACGGCCTGGGCACTTAGTCCAGAGAAGCAGCCCTCTGGGGTCCATCCGCAGGGAAGTGCGCACAGCCCTGCGCCAGAGGGAATCCAGTCTGAGAGGAGGGTTCACTCAGTCCCAGCACCCGTTCTGAGGGGCCCGGTCAGCTTGTTCAGGGTGAGGGGGCTCACGTCGGCTTCAGAGGCCTCCAGGGGGTCTGGGCCCAGCCACTTGGGCCCCATGACTGCCCGTGGGGTGGGTGGACGAGTTGCCTGAAAGACGCAGTGGTCTGAGCTGGCGAAGGCCTTCAGACGCCCCTGGGGGGCTTGGGGTCTCACTGGGGGTCCTCTCTCACAGCGCCCCCCACCCCATCACCATCTCCCGCCTGGCTACCTGCCTGCCCTGCCCCTGGGGCCCCCTCTGCCTCCATGTTACAGCGGGGACTCTGCTGCTCTCCCACGGGCAGCCCTGCTGTTCATTGTGGCTCAGGGGCTCTCAGGCCCCGGCCTGTGCCCCTCACCATCCCGAGCAGGTCACCACGGGGAGCCCCAGGCCTCTGGACAGTTGTCTGCCCTGCCCACCATCTGGAAGGTCAGGTGGGCGGGGCCTGGGCTGCTGGGTGTCATGCCACCTCCGGGGTCCTGGCCTCGTGACCCTCGCCCAGCCTCCGATGAGGGGTGGCTGTTGGAGTTGGGGAGCACTTCCCGGATGCTCAGTCCCTAGAGGAGAACACGGCCTGAGCTGAGAGGAGGGAAGGGCCAGCCGGAGCTCAGGACTGTGGTCGGGTCGAGGGCCTCTGACATTCTAGGGGCCAAGGGAGGTGTTGGGTGGGATGCTCAGTGACCGAGTGCAGAATCCCATGGGCCAGCCCTCTGGCTCCCACAGCCCTGAGCCAGAGCAGGACCTTCCCCCGGGTGCCCAGGCACCACCCCTGCACCTGTTGCATCCCTAGAGTCGGATCCGGGCTGGGGTGGCGGTCACGTGGGGGCTCCCTGAGTGTCCCAGCCCCCAGGGGCCACAGCATGGCCATGAGATAGGCAGGAGGGGCCTCAGGCCTGGGGTGGGGAGGTGGCCAGGGACCCGAAGGATCTGAGGTTGGCCCTGGGTGGACAATGACTTGGGGCCAGTGGGCGGCTGGTAGGGGAGCCTGGCCAAAGGAAGCCTGGGTGGGGAGTGCTGAGGGGGCAGCTGGTGGCAGGGAAAGGCTGGGGCCCATCCCTGCAGGGCCCCCGGTCAGCGTGTGGCACCAAGGGACCCTGAGCTGCCCCAGGCCCTCCTGCCGGACGGTGCCCTAACCCTGGGCCCAGGGCCTGGCCCACATCGCTAGACCCCTCCTGAGGTGACTCCAGAACCCCGCGGCTCCCAGCCCTCCCCCCTGGAGTGACGCGAGGCCCCAGCTCAGACCATAGCAGGAAGCTTCCTTTTCCTTTTTTTCTTTTTTGTCCTCCCCGCCCAGTCATGAGTGGGCCACCACCGACCATCTGTCTCTTGGTCCGTCTGTCCGCCCTTATGTCCATAGGTTCAACCCTTGGTCCCCAGTCACATGACTGTCTCCCACTCCTCCTGCAACAAGGCCGGTGGCCGCTCGGGCGCAGAGGCCTCCTCGTCCAGGCCCGAGCAGGAGCCGTTGAGGAAGCTGGCGTCCTTGGACGCAGCCGCGGCTGGCGGTGAGGTCTGGAGGGCCGGGGGCCCTGGCTTGGTGTGACCAGGCAGCGGTGGGTGGCCATTGGTGGTGGCAGCAGGCAGCAGGCGGGGGCTGACGGGCAGGCCGAGTCCCGCGCGGGAGCCGATGTTGGTCACGCTTGTGTGAGACACCATTGGACCATAGCTGTAGCTGCTGCTCCCGCTGCGTGCCTTGCGCTTGAAATCCAGGGCCAGCGTCCAGCGGCTCCATGACTTCTTGATCTCAGCCTGGACCTGGGTGGCAGGAGGAGGTGGACCTCAGGAGTGCCCCTGACCCCTCTGCCACCCGTCACCCCAAGCCCAGCAGTGACCCCACCTTGGCCCCTACAGCACAGCCCTGGAGGGAGATGGGTAAATTCCAAATTCCCGGAAAATTCCAAGGCCCAGGCCTCGGGGTTTGGCTGCAGGCAGCTGCCACTCCCAGAACCTCTGCGGTTCAGATGTCCCCGACTCAGGGTGGCTGAGTCGCTCAATCTGGATGACAGAGAATTCAGCCCTGGGGTTGGGAAGACACTGGGCTACCCCAGAGATGGGTGAGCCCACAACTCCTAGCACATCCTGAGCCTGAACCATCTGGAAAGATCTCTCTGCCTCCAGGACAGAGAGAAGAACCGGGCAGGAGTACGGGAGGAGCAGGGCTCGGGAGCCCTGGTGCCTCTGCGTCCTCCCTGCCGCGCCTGCCGCTGCCCACTTACCTCGCCGTTGCAGAAACAGTATATGATGGCGACAAAAAATCCCTGTGGGGAGGAGAGAGGCGTGGAGCTTGGGTCAGCCCAGTCGTGGGGAGCAGGCAGCCCGCCCCCTGGCCAGCCCCTCACCTGGAAGGAGTTGAAGAGCATTTCGTAGTGCATCTGGACGTGCCAGAGAGTCCCTGAGACCTCGGTGTAGGGCATGGCTATGAAGACGATGTAGTGGACACCAAAGAGCGGCATGAGCACCAGCGTGGACTTGAGCAGCTTCCTGGGCCAGCAGGGCAGCAGGTCAGGGCCACGCCACGTCCCCGACGGGCACTCTGCCCTCTTCCCCACCCGCCGGCCCCGGCTCCAGAAGCCACCACGGGGCCAGAGGCTCTGGCCACCAGTGGCGGACAAGCTAGTTCATGGGCACAGTGTTCCTGGAGTGGAGCTGTAGTCCCGCCTCGGGCCCTGGCACCTGCTGGTCCCTCTGCTGGCACTCACCACGCCCCCGCCCAGCCTCACCTCGCGATCCCGGGACCCACTCCTCAGGTGTCGGCCCCTTCTTGAGCCGCCACTGCCCACCTGTACCTCGGGCTGCCCGGGACCAGCTCTCTGAGGGGAGGGCTGGGTTTGTCCCGCCCTTGCAACCCCAGCTCCAGTGCAGGCCGGGCACAGAGTGGCCCAGGTTGGCTTTGGGGGGGCCTCAGAGGCCAGGAGAGAGCCCATCACTTCTGGGCGGGGCCAACCAGGGAGTCGGGAGTCGGGTCCTTCCCCTGAAACGGGCTCATTCGTGGAGCCTCAGTCTTGGCTTTGGTATGTGGTGCCTGGATGTTGACCTCTGACCTGAGGAGCCTGGCCTGGCGGATGCTCACCGGTACTGCTGCCGCGTGTCGCACCGGCCGGCATTGGTCTCCCGCAGCTTGGTGGCCAGCACGCGGACGATGTTGATGAAGAGAATGAAGTTGAGCTGCGGAGTGAGGGGGGCTGAGTCTCCACGCCTCCTAACAGGGCGGGGGTAACCAATCTCAAAGCAGTGATGTGTAGAGCCAATCCCAAGAATGTTACTAAGGCAAATTGGCGCACCCACGGCCCTGCCCAGGCCCTGCTCTGCCACAGCATCTCCAGGGGCTCCATGGGGCTTCGACTTCCCCATCAGGACCGAGGGCCGGGATGGAGATCAGCTGCTTTTCAGGCCTTAAGGCTGTGACCTTGGGGTCCAAGATGGCTCCCACCCAGCCCTGTGGCCACCCCTGCTCACCACAATGGAGGCCAGGATGGGCACCTGGATGATCCACTTCTTGTTCCCGGAGCTCAAGTCCCAGCACCTGCGGGAGGTTGAGGCGTCAGCCCCCACCCCGTCCTGCTCCCACCCCGAGCCTGCCCACAGGCCCAGAGCTGGTCTACTCTGACATCAGCTGTTGGGGACACGGGTCAGGGTATGCGAGGTGTGGCCAGGCCTGAGGCCAACCTCAGAGACCCTGAGCTGGGGCCAGGGCGCAGGAGGCCCCGTCATCCGCTTCACAGAGGAAGAGGGTACCGGGGGTGTTTCTGGCCTGTGTTACCCCAGCCTCTTCTCCGCCTGGACCTACCCCGTGTTGGCCAGGGTGGCTCTCACACCGACCCACACAGCCACGAAGATGGCGGGCACACCTGTGTGCAGAGAAGGGACAGTGTGTGAGGGCCTCAGATGCTATTCCAGGTTTCTTCTCAGCCCACTATGCCGGCCCCGTTCCCCTCGTCCCTGACCACGCCCACCTTGCCCCCCCGTTGTCCCTGACCCCTCTCCCCAGGCACACAAGCTGCTTGGTGACAGGCCCCGAGGCCCCATCCAGCCCTCTGCCCTCATCTCGATTCTGCACCTGCTACACACAGCCCCCTGTGGGGCACATGGTGAAACCGTCAGAAACAGCCATGCCAGGCTGTTCCTCCTCCCTCTCCACAGGGTGCTGCTCTGGGGTGGGGGTGTCCTGGGGGGAGGGAGCCTATTACTGGGGGAACCTTGGTGTGCCCAGGCCAATGCCAGCTCAGATGGCCCCTGGCATCTCTGGGCGAGCTCTGCCTGGAAGGGAGCCCAGGTCCCCACCCTCCATCCCCTCACTTCAGTCTTGGCCTGAGACCTCTGGGAGGGGAGGGAGTGACCCAGGTTACGCTTCTCTGTGCCCCCCGCCACCCTGACACCCTCTAGGCCCAGAGCCTGCTTCAGTTCCTGGGACCAGGTCTAGGTCTCCCCCCCCCCCCCCAACTTTGGGGCTGGGTGTGGGTGAGGTCAAGGTCAGAGTGTGCCAAGGAGCAGGAGGCTGTGGCTGTGGCTGTTGATCTGAGGGCCTCTGGGTGCTGAGCACTGAGAGAGCTCCAGCACCAGACCTGCCCGTCTGCCGTCTGGCTGGCTGCCCAGCCAGGCCTGGAGCTGCCAACAATAATGGACAATTATCAGCAACTGGATCCCAGAGCCCGCAGGGGAGGGCAGGCCCAGCTGCCCATTCTGCCGGGAGGGGGGGGGGGGGGCATGGGCCCTGCGGGCAGCTTCACACGGGATTGGTGTTCACAGTCAGGGTTCCAGCTCCAGCCTGACCTCTGACCCAGGGTCCCACTCTGATCCTGAGCTGGATCTTTTTGTTGTTAATCCTCCCCCGAGGGTACTTTCCATTGATTTTTAGAGAGAATGGAAGGGAGAGGGCGAGACAAACATCAATGAGAGAGACACCTGGGTTGCGGAACCTGCAACCAAGCATGCCCTTGACTGGAATCGAGCCCAGGATCCTTTAGTCCGAGGGCCGACACTACCCACTGAGCCAAACCGGCCAGGCCTGAGCTGAATCTTGACCCGAGAGTTCTCACCCCAACTCCAGGCTGAGCCCAGTCCAGGTAAACCCCACCCAGCCAAGCTCTGCTGGAGCCCGGGAGGGTGGGCAGGCTGCCCACCTGCTGCCCCACGCCCGGACAGGCTATGCTGTGTGGGTGTCCTAGCCTCGTGGTCCCCTCTGGACCATCCCACGCTGCCTGTGCCCTGCCCCGCGTACCCCAGCCAAAGACTGTGAAGCCCCACAGGTACTTCTTCTCGGAGAAGAAGGCCATGAAGATGAGGCTGTGCAGGTACAGCCCCTCCACCAGGATCCAGTAGTAGTTGGTGGCCAGGAAGTAGAGGAAGACGGTCACGGCCACCCGGCAGCCCGCCTAGGAGACCAGCGGGGTCAGCC